GCAGTAAAGCCTCCGAGCCACACCCTAACCCTGACCATCTAGATCTTGAGTGAAGAACACTCACTGTCAACACATCTAGTACGGTCGCAAGAAGAGAGAGTAGAAGAGAGAGAAAGAGAGCTCTAAGCGCCGGACTTGACAAAATGCAAGATCCGGCCAACCCGAAACCGGATCCGAGCTCCAGCTCTCAGGACTCTCACCACCCACGCATGGCGCCTGCCATTTCCAAACAAGACTCCGAGCACCCCGTTCTGGGGCTCCTACCACCGTCGAACCCAATCCGAGGCCATTTCCAGATCCCTGACAACTGGATCTGCTCCAGGACCCGTTCGACGGCCCGTCCTGCGGCTTTGAAAAGTTGGGCAGCTCGGATGACGACATCTTCGACACCTACATGGACATAGAGAAGCTCAGATGTGCTTGGAGAGAGAGAGAGAGAGGGGGGTGAAGAGGGAGGTGTGGGAGGGATCGGGAAAGAGAAAAGGGAGGGATCGGGGAAGAGGGGCGGGCAAGTGGGTTTTCTTTCTCGTCATCTTCTTTTCACAGCGAATAAGGCGGAGGAAGTGAGTGAGGGTAGTGAGAGAGAGAGAGAAAAAGAGAGAGAAAGAGAGAAAAAAATCGAGAGGTGCTGGATTTGCAGAAGAGAGAAGGTTGGGATTTGCAGAAGAGAGAAGGCGGGTGCAGGGGTGAGGGGACATGTTGGCTTTTTTTTTTGTGTTTTTGTATTTGTTTTTTAATTTTTTAATATTAAAGTGGGTTCATATTGACACGTGGCGCTCAATTATTGTCCACGTGAGCGGCACATCATCAGTTAACAGAAATTCTAACGGAAAACTTAACGGAGGTATGAAACTGTCCCAAAATTAAGACTTGAGGTATGACTCTGGGATGAAAAAAACTTCATGTATCAAATGTTGAAAACCACGAAACTTCAGGGTAGTAAACAGAGATTAACCTAATTTTCAATTCACTTCCAGAAACTATCATTTGCCCAACAAACAAAATTTTGTCAGTCAAAATAACTTTACATCGAAAAAAAATTGGTCAAGTGAAAGTGGTTAACATTTAAGTGTTTCCTGTAAAAAGTACATATAAATGCAAATTGAAAGACTTATTCTATCATGTGGGCTCAGCAATTTTGATTAGTTTCTAAATTATTTAGAGATAGATGTGTTAAATTGTGGTTGCAGTTACAAAACCCACTGTAGAGCCGAGTATTTTTGCTAGTTTCATCTAAACTGTGGAGGGGATACAAAGATTTGAAGTTGGTTGTCGAGAGTACAAAACTAAAAGTTTGATATAGATTTTTCGCACTATTGGAACTTGTATTGCCTATTAGATGTTAGGGGCACTTTTGGATCTTTAATGTTGTAAGAGCATCTCCAATGCAAATGTCAAAAGATAAATGTTAAATGTTAATTTGATTGTTGACGTGACAATATCAGATTTTCTCTTTTTTCAACTGATATGTTTTTTTTGTTATAAATGATATTTGTAGGTCCTATTTGAAAAAAAAATCAATTAAAATAAAATTTCAAGATCTATAATTAGTGCATTAATGTGACTCACCCAATAAAATAATTAAAAATTATTTGACATCACATTTTCTCATATGTCAATCCATATATGATTGATATATCGGTTGGAGCTTACTCCTACTTTCAAATTTGATTACATAGCATTTCATTTAGAATTTGACATCTCTTTTGAAGATGGTCTAAGGACTCTATTTTAAGCAAGTTATTTTTACACACTCCTGTTTAATTTTGGTTGTTAATTTCGTTTAATTTATTTAATTTGATGGCTATTAATAGAGTGGAGTGTGTGAGATGCTAAAAGGGCGGGTAAAAGCCACTTTCCTTATTTTAAAATATTAATTATTATATCTGCCAACCTGTCATATTTTTTTGCATTTAGTTGTGAAGATTTCTTCATAAATAAATATAAAGTGGGTAAGAAGATATGAGAGATGGGTGAATAAAGCATCCTCTTTATTTGTATCAGGCATGGGAATTGCCCCACTTCAGCCCGTTTTGCACATTTTCAATTTTTGTTCTTTCCTTATGATCATAATTAAGATAATTTAGTGAACAAATTTTAGTCCAGAATCTATATTTCTCATTCAAGGGCAACTTAAAAACAACTCGTAGATTATGTTGCAATATCTGTTAATTCTATCAATGACAAACATTTGTACTTCGTAGCCACCCCACTATTACGTGCAAAATTTGCTTTATGTGGAAACAAACGATATATAGACCACCACGCAACATCAACCTTAATTTTCCAAAAACCAGATCTATCAACTATTCATCTTTGTCATCTCATTGCTACTTTCACGAAAAAAGAAACAAAGCTATGCAAGAAAAAGGAATATGCAGAGGTGCCTCTACAAATTGACCCAAAAAAGAAACTATAGGGCAATTTCACATTTCCCAGAAGCCATCAAACTTTGCACACAAGTTTACACAAAGTAATCCAAAGTATAAAATCATAAAGATATCATGATAGCACACTTTCTTTGTCTTGTTTCTTCTTGGGATTTTCTCACTGACTTTCTCTCTCTCCTTTTCGAGACCAAGTGAAAAAAAAATGTTCTACTTCTCTCTCTCATGGCAAGAGAAAAGTCTCTCAGTCCAAAGTGTGTAAAACACTAGAACTCATGGCAAGAGAAAAGTCTCTCAGTCCAAAGTGTGTAAAACACTAGAACCCTCGCGTGCTTCAACCCCCCCCCCCCTCTCTCTTCCTCATCGGAAAACAATCTTTCTCTTCCTTCCATACACACACACAGAGATATAGAGTGTGGTTAGGGTTAGGGTCATATATATAGACAGACATTCTCTTTTGTTCCCACCAAATGTTTCTTCAAATATCAAAACATTGGGTATTGCCCAAAACAAGCCAACAATTGCATATTTATATAGTCACACTTTCGTCTGTATGCCTGAGTGTGTGTCAGAGAGAGAATGCTAACGAGAAAGAGAAGATTGACTTCAAACTTCAAAGTGTAATTTTCAAATAGTTAATTCATTAGGGTATATCTTATGGACCACCGATCAATTTTTTGTGTCAATGGTTTTCGACATGGGTTCTGAAGTTTATTAGTTTATTGCAAGGGGGTAAGACCATAATAAGAAACTTAGCAACATTGGTTTGCAGAATTTCAGAATTCCGAAGATCATTTTGTGTGGTGTCTCACGTGATCTTTACGTGCTCATTGTGCACACGTTTGATAAGGTGGTGGGAATGGATGGGATTAGGATATAATCTTAGTTTGATCCTTATGTGGAAGGCTTCAACTAAAAAACATAATTAGAATTAGCATTAGAATTCAAAGTATTCTCTTGTTTCTCCTCCTGTCCCAACTGGAGAAATTATAGTGTAATTTCACTGCTATTATAGTGTAGTCCCATGCATGTATATCTTTACTTTAGACAGGCTCGCAGCTCAAGGTAATTGCACGAGGGTTTGAAGAAATTTTTAGTTATGATGAGAATACGGATAATACATTACGTGTTTTTATGCAAGTAGTGAAAATTTTTAATTTTTAAATTATTAATATTTTAACACACATAACCAACTATTTATACATGGATACGTGATGTACCACCTCGTATGATGATCATACTGAAAAATCTCTCAAGGATTTGGGTGGTGATGCTGCCGAATCTTTATGGGAAGAGTCCTAATAAATGGAAAAGATATTTATGGAAGATGATATTTTATAGACCACGTTCAAATTATTTCTCTAATAAAAATAAATGGGACACTTTAGATGCGGTCCTTAACTACCAATGTTCTTTGATTGAAACCTTGGTGGTTTTTATCTTTTGATTGAAGTCCCTCACATTAATGTAATAATGTATTTTTATGTAGGTTATTATATTTTTAAATTAAGAATAAAATTTGTAGTTCTTTATATTAATGAGATTTTAAATGAAACCCATATTTTATGGAATTAAAAATATTAAAGATGAATTATACTCTCCAATATATTGTGTGTGTGTGTGTGTGTATATGTATATATGTGTGTGTGTATATATATATATACATGGGTACGTTCATCAAAACTAACCAAAAAATTATTGTACCAAAGCATGTGTACATTTTTCAAAAACACAAAAAAAAAAAAAAGCCTTAATAACATTATTAAATTTCTTCTATTAAACTTGACATGGATACATTCTCAAATAAACGAAAATAGAATGTATCCATATAAGTTTAAAAATGAATTAGAGAAAAGATTGAATGAAATTTTATATAAAAAAAAATGGGTACATATTAAATTAAAAAAGGGTATATTTTTAACAAATTGGTATATTTAAGAATGGATACATATAAAAAAAAGCCTTAATAACATTATTAAATTTCTTCTATTAAACTTGACATGGATACATTCTCAAATAAACGAAAATAGAATGTATCCATATAAGTTTAAAAATGGATTAGAGAAAAGATTGAATGAAATTTTATATAAAAAAAATGGGTACATTTTAAATTAAAAAAGGGTACATTTTTAACAAATTGGTATATTTAAGAATGGATACATATAAGCTTAAAAAATTGAAATTTTTTTATACAAATTTAATGGGTACAAACTTATTCTAATTTTATTTATTTTTATTTGGGAAATGTTTGAATTGAAAATTAATTAGGAGTTTAATAAGGGTGTGAGTATTAAAACTCTAAATCAATTACTAATTTTTTTTTATAAAAATTATGTAACTTACATGTAATTCATTAATATATTAATGATAGGGACTTTGATCAAAATCTAAAAACTGATAAGATCTTAGTTAATGGACATTAGAAACTAGGGACCGGAAACTAATTTTTCCAAAATAAATTAACCAATCAAGTAGATAGTTTGAATGCGATCTCTCTAGAAATTTCCTATTTATACAAAAGAAAAGGAAATGGATATATAGTAATGTGTTTAAGACTTCTCAAGAACAAGTTGAGAAGAATACAAGTATTGTGTTGCAAATATGACTTGTTATGATTCATTCAGAAACTTCGATAAAATTCAAATGATACGGAGAAGATTAACATGATCCCTGCGTAATAAAGATGTGCATAAATCAAGAAATTGTTCAAATTTTTAAAACAAAAAAAACAATGACTTCTTATATGTTATTTGGCTCCAGTTGTGCTTTTTTTTAATGTAATGTGCTTGGTTTTGTATTAATTAATTGGCTTCCTTCTAATAAAAATAATAATAATAATAATTGGCTCAAGTTTGTCAGACAGAATATTGACTTTGGAATTACATGGGTCCTCTCCAGATCTATGTATCCTAATCTATCAAACACATGTATTCAGATCATTAAAATTTGATCTAACGATTAAAATTATTATAATTTTTAAAGTAGATTCTAGTTGTAGCTATTGGATCAAATTTCAATATTCCAAATATATGAATTTAGTGGATTAGGATATATGATCAGAAGAGGACCCATGTCCTCATTTGTATAGTTGATTTATTGAAAGCTTATTAGTTTTTAATTTTTTATAGAAGTCTCTAACATTAATATACTAATGTATTCCCATATCGATTATTATGTTTTCAACTTAAAATTGAAATTCATAGTTATTATATATATTAATAAATTTTTAAATAAAACTCACGCTGTAATATTGAAGATATTAAAAGATAAATTACACCCCATTCCGTGAAAGAAAATTCAAATTCTATAGAAAATAATGTTTTTCCATAGATAGTATGTACATATATGTGTGTGTGTGTGTGTGTAACATACTATATACATGGGGAGGGTAGATCCGAGACACTATTTTTTTTACCTAAATTTTGACACAAGTTTGTGGGGCCCACTTTATAATGTATTTCAACGATCTGAACCGTCTATTTGTTAAAACATCATTCATAAATCATTCTTACAAAAAATTAGACAAATCCAAAACCATTAAGACATATTCATTTATAATGAAGAAATATGGACGGATACGGTTTTACAAAGAAACCTTAAACCCTTAATCCAACGGTTGGATTTAGATGATTTTTCTGGTAAATATGATCTTTGAGAGAATACATAAAAGATAGATAGGTCCCCAAAATACATGTGTCAAAAGTTGTGCAAAAAAAATGGTACCACAAATCCACACTATACACACACACATAAACATGGGTACATTCATCAAAATTAACAAAAAATTATTGTACTATAAAACGTTCAGTAGATTTTTCAAACATAAAACATAGTTACATTCTTCAAAATTAACCGAAAAATTATTGTTCATAAAATGTTTGGTAGATTCTTCAAACACAAAACATGGTTACATTCTTCACAACTACAATTAAAAAATAATAACAATAAATATTTGGCTTAATGACATGGATACATTGTCATATCAATGAAAAATAAAGTACCCATACAAGTTCAAAAAATGGATAAAAAAAATGAACCGATTTTACATGACAACACAAATTCAGTGATGTGGAACAAGTGTAGCTTTGGATTTCTACACGTGAATAATCTGCTCTCAAACCATAAAAAAATTACGGTTCCACTATAAATATTCTTTTAAAAGTATGAAAAACATTTAAAAAAAAAGTGGTATAGCACAGATGAGGATCTTTCCGAATACTCACATTTTATTCGTTCATTGTATATCATGGGGTCGGTTTGCATTAGATTTTGTTTTTATTTAATTTTAAATAAATAATTTTAATTAAATTTTTATCGTACGATATACGATGGACAAATATAATGTAACGATAAAAGGGTATCCGGAATCCAAATCCGTATAGCACAACCCTAAGAAAAGGGTTTAAATGGTTGCCAACTAACCGTACTGACATGATCAGAGTTCATCAATTGTCTAAAACCAGAGGTGCATTACTGATCAGAGTATCTTTCTCTTACATACCAGTTCTTCAGGTGCTTCCTCAGCGTCATTTCTGTGGCCCTGCGTAACACGGGAGATTGTCTTCGTTTAAGGGCAAGCAATCCAAATAATATCACAGATTAGATTTAATCAGTCGAACAATCCTTTCTTGACCACACTGTGACCCAATCTCTCCCTCCAATACCAAATCGAACGGCTAGGAGACCTCTACCAGTTTCTCGAGATCATGAACCCTTAAAACCCATCAAATCACTTTGTGTCCACGATTTACCCTTCTCTTTTCTTTTGTCAGCCGTATCTCCTTTTTAATATGTCTAGAATACAGGGTAGTAGATCATATCGATATGTAAATAGAGAAAATTTTATTTTAAATTGTTAATTTTTTAACATATGCTCTCACAACTTATAAAGAGATATTGGGTATACTAATTTATATTCCGAACACATTAAAAATTATGTAGGTAATAGAATAATATTAATATTAAACTTTCAATATCAAATGTTTAAATCTCTGAGTTGTTTATCACTAACTTGATCTTCACTCATGGAGAACTAAACATAATTTTGGACAATATTTTGATTCTTTAAAAATAATATTTTAAAGAATCGTTTGTTTTTTCTGTAAATATTTTTTTTTAAAGAATCGTGTATATTTTTGTCATCTCAAACCATGTAGGGCAATATTTTAGTTCATTTGATATTTTATCTTTTTAGTGTATTGAGAAAAAGTATGATACATCACTCATACATTCACTACTATGTGTTGTTTAAAATTAAATAAACCCATCAATGCTTGGTGGTTCAAGTGATAATGAGTTTGTTCCTCTTAAGTAAGGCCATCTCCAACCGATGGCTGGCCAGATGACTCGTTTTAACCATCTGGCCCTCCAAGATTCTCCAAGATATTAATATTTTAATGAACAGTACAGGGCCATATTTGCCTCCGTTTCCAACCGAGGGCCAGATGGCTCATTTTAGCCATTTCACAAAAAATCGTCTCCAACCGAGAGCCAAAGGGTCATAGGGCCAAACATAATTTATTATTTAAAAACTACAACTTTAATTCATATTGTTTAATGTTGTTTCATGTTACTTAATTTAATTTAATGTTGTATAATGGCTTAGGAAGTTATAGGAAAAAAAATAGAATTTAAAAAAAAATATGAAACAAATTTTGTGAAATAGAAGTTATAGGAAAAAAATGGAATTTAAAAAAAATATGAAACAAATTTTGTGAAATAGAAGTTATAGGAAAAAAATGGAATTTAAAAAAAATATGAAACAAATTTTGTGAAATAGAAGTTATAGGAAGAAAATGGAATTTAAAAAAAATATGAAATAAATTTTGTGAAATAGAATTTATAGGAAAAAAATAGAAGTTATATGATAAATTTTGTAAATAAAAAATAATAATAAAACTGTAAAAAAATTTGTGAAATAGCCATTGTATTCAATTTTTTTCAAACTATACGTGTCAGATATAACCGACACTATTTGCAATTCAAATTAGTGTTTGTATCGGTTATAACCGACACTAATACTAATTAATAAATATCCCAGTAGCCATTAGCTTTAATTCATTATATTCTACATTATTCCTGTCGGTTTTAACCGATAGGAAATCCAACACTTCAAAAAAAAAAAAATTGGCCAGCCCGGGGTTAGCTGGCTGGCTGGAAGTGGCCAGCCCTCCAGCCCTCTAGCCCTTTCCGATTCTGTGGGGCCTTCCCAGATTCCAGAGCCCTCTGGCCTAACCCTCGGTTGGAGAAGGTTTTCGGGCTATTTTCGGCGCTCTGGCTCTCTGGACCCTTCGATTGGAGATGGCCTAAGGTCTCGAGTTCGAGCCTTGTGAATGGAGAAGCCAACATTAAAAGAGCTTGCTCCCCGAATGGGGTCCGACCTGCTCGAGGGATTAGTCCTCGCCTACTTGCGGGGATACCCTGGATTCATCAAAAAAAAAAACTTAAATAAATCCCCATTTATATCTTATTTTCTATAAATATTTTTCTAAACACAGATTATTTGTAAACATATTTTTAAAAATATTATTTTTAATAATAAAATATAACTTAATGTGGACTCGTGAATCGTGGAGAAAAGGGAGAGTGGAGGTGGTTTTAGAAAATAAGTGGATTGAGTTTGAATTGTTACAAATAAAATATTCAAAGTTTGTTAAAATAGAATGTAATTTGAGATGAAAAGTTAAACTAAGTAGCTTGATGTAAAAAAACAAAAAAAAATAAAAAAACAAAAAAAAAACTTGATTATTGCATCAAAACATTACTCGTGTCTCATGCTCTTTTAGTTGAGTTTAAATTTTCATTCAACCTAATTAGGTATTTGAATATACGAGTATAAAAAATTTAGTACCTAGGCATTTGGAGGTAGGATAGAGAATAAACTTACCTCTAAGTTGGTCTTGTGTTAGTGGACATGCATGTAGAATGCCCAATAACTGTCTCACTTATCTTCTCATTTTAATCTACTTCTTTTCTCTTTGAAATCTTAAGTATTCATGAGAAGATGAAAAAAGAGGTAAAAAAAAAAGGATAATTTGGATGCAGTCGCTAGTCTCTAACACTCTTTGATTAAAACATTAATGGTATTCAAAGTTTGATCAAAGTTCCTTGACTTTGTACACCTCATCATATTACTATTAGTATTTATATTTTATAGTTTTTACATTAATTGTTTGATGTTTTATGAGATTTCTAATCCTATAAACTTAAAATCCCTCATTATAATACTATTAGAAACGGCTATAATAAATAAAAAAATTCAGAAATTTTGATTGAACAAATGGATAAAAACTATGTAACAATATGAAATAATAAATGGCAAAAGAATATATCCATAGCGTTAAAAAATTGGTACATTTTACATATAACAAAGTGGTATATTAATAAAGAAGAATGAGTACATTACAAATAAATTAGGGTACAAATAAAAGATTAAAAAGTTATTAGTACAAATGAAATTTTAAAAAATATGGACACAAAAAAAAAAAATTAATACATGGGCATAAATTAAAACTAAAAAGAAAATAGTACAAATTAAAAAAGAGAACTGCTAAACCCACCCCGTTGTCTTATTTCACCACCCACGTTATATTTACACCCACTATAAAAAGTTAAAAAATTAAAATGTTATTTTCTCACCCACTATTATTCCTAAAATAACCCTATATATAATTAGAGATAAATTTCTTTAAAAAAAAAAGAAAATAAACAAACCTTCTAAAAATAGGAAAAAAAAGAAAAAAAACCATGTTTCCTTTCCAAATTCCAATTTGAGTGTCCTTTTCGAGATGCATACCAATTTGAGTGTCCATTCCAAATTTTCCCTAACCTAATTAAAACAATTCCAACGAATTCTAGGAATTCTCATAGGAAAACCTGAAACAAATTGTACCTTAACCTAATGCAAATTCAAATAAAAAGTCACAAAGCTATGCTTCAATTATTCATGTCGACAAATCAAGATGGTCCACATAAAATTATCTTTTACCTGGTCGACGGAAACATAGTCATCTACTTGTTCCATAGAAATGTCATCTTCTAAATTCATTCTTTTTGCTTTCTCTGAATGAAAGGGTATGAAAAGGATGAGTTAGGGTTTATGGGAGACAAATTTTCTAAACTTTTCTTTTCTTTTCTTTTTTTATAAAAAAAAAATTAATGCAAAAAGGAGTAAGTAAGGTCCCTATTAGTCATTTTACAAATGGATAAATTTGTAATTAAAAAATTCATAAAAAGGTGGGTGGGGAAATAAGACACCGGGATGGGAATATCACCACTCTTAAAAAAAAGGGTTGCAAATTAAGAGTGGATATAAACTAAAAATATAAATATATGATACAAAGTTTAGCCATAAAATATAAATATACCATATATAATTTTTCTAACACTAAATGAATATTTTAGAAATTTAATGTAATATGTTATATATTAAAATAATAATATTCATTAAAACCTAAAAACTTTAATAAAAAATTACAAAAAAGTAAAATTTTGATTAATAAAATAAAAGAAAAATGGATGTGAACTTAATTTCTTTTTAAAAAACGGGGGAAGAATACTTGTCTCTCCTTGACCATGCATAACAAGCAAGCCTAATGCCAATGTCAGTGTAGATGGTAGGGGTACTTGTGACATTCTCAAGGGCATATCCCTCCTGCCAAGATATAGGTAATGACGTAAATATGAGGGATTACGATCTTATCGAACATGACAGGAATATCTTAATAAAATCTTCATAAAAAATGAATGTAAAAAATGGTTTAATTAATATTTTTATATTATGTGGGTTATATAAATTCTTAAGCTGCTGATTCTGGATTCATCACTGACCATTCAGAGCAATATGAACAACCAAACCCTGGCCACCGTTCCGTTATACAGTAACCCCGTAATGTTTCATGCACAACCAGAAACGTTTCGGTTTCTAACTGAGACGAACTCACTTTATGAGTCTTACTTGAGGAAGGCCCACTTCTCGGATTCCACCATTTCAATCCCAACCCAGCTGAAGAACTTCAACCAACCCAGTCATACCAATATTTCGGCCGAAGTTCCGCTTGTTGGTGTTATTGATAAAGGACCGGAATCCCAAGCCCAAGCACCTCCGGTTCTTGATGGAATCGCTGCTGTTGTAGGGCAACATGTCCTCTTTGGTAAAAAAAATAGCAATACCTCATATAATGGTGAAAGCTCTCTAATTCCGGATTTCGGCTACGTTTCGGAGCGTCTTGGTGCGGCCGAAACTTCGATAAAACATGCTGATAATAAGAAGAGTAACTTTCCGGTGCAAAAGAACTATCGGGGAGTGAGGAAGAGGCCATGGGGAAGGTGGTCCGCGGAGATAAGGGACCGTATCGGGCGGTGCCGTCACTGGCTGGGGACTTTCGACACGGCAGAAGAAGCTGCACGTGCGTACGACGCGGCGGCGAGGAGGCTGAGAGGGGCAAAGGCCAGGACCAACTTTGAAATCCCGTCTGTGTTTCCCCTCTCGTTGCATTGTTCACCACCTTCTTCTTCGGAGGCCAAGAGAGTGAGAAGTGCTAAGAGGCCTCCCAAGGGTTCGAAAAGCAACAGAAAATGCTCAGTGGTGACCAGTGTGGCTCATTTGTTTAGTGAGGCTCCCACTGATCTTAGAAGTAGTCAAGTTAAAATTCGGAATGTGGAGCTTGATTTGAAGATTGGAGTTGGAGTGAGTTTTAATGGAAATTAAGTGTTCTTATTAACTCTTCTCTATATATAGTTAGTATTTCCAATTTGGTTTATTTTCCATTTTTCTTTTTCTGTTTTGCCTTTTGGGTTCTGACTTAGTCATGCATGGATGGGTTGGATCAGCAGCTATAGTTTATAATGCATGTAAATGTAATTAAGAAGCCAAGGAATTTGGTGGATAATTTGTAGCCATCCCAAAGCTTTTAGAAATATCTATTATTTATATCTATATATTCTATTGGAAGTAAGATCGATTTAGAAATTGATGTAGTTTTAATTTCCTTCTCTCTATATTTATGTATAGATATCAATATACATATATATTTGTGTTCTTGGCCTGGGTTTTAGTGTTTCATTTTATTCTCAGAGGCTTCACTCCCCTTGAGAAAATTCCTGTGCATGGGTTGATCCGGAACCGGATCCCTCCGATCCAAAAAATCTGTTATTCTAAAAATTATAATAATTGTAATGGGTAGATTAAATTTCAATAATCCAAAATATTTAATCGTTGAACGCAGTTTCTTTGTGTCCAGAGGATCCTGTTTCAATAACATCATATATTTAAGTAACTGTCAACTGAGGGTTTTTGATTTGGCAGATGTATCTTTCTATACGGACTGGGGGTGAATACTGACAGTAGCTTAGATGGTGGTACATTTTTCCTGATTTTTTCTGCATCATTTAAAGAACAGGTGATGATGATGTGTGTAGATAGCAGAGACTGGAGTTCTTCATGGTCTTTAGCTCGTTGTAAACCATTGAGTAGTACAAGTATGACGACTTCTATGGGACCTTTTTTCACTGCACTCATGTATTTGATTGCAGACTGCACTGAGATCTCAGGATCAGAAAAAGGAGGAAGTACAAAGTGAACATAATATAAAGTCTAGCTAAAACCTAGTTGTAGAATATACTATAAAATATTTTTTTGTTAATATATTATCAACTGTTTTTTATGAGACTGACATTATTTCTAATATTATATTCGATTTGGGAATCCATAAAGTTAAAATTGGATTTCGAGTAACAGTTCCCCACACCATGCATCCAAGTATAACAAATGGAACTTGTGCATGATGCTTGGACATGCCGCGTCTTCATTTTCTTTTTAAACAATGCTCTGATTCTGTTTCTTTTTGTCAAAATAGGAACTGGATCCTCTTCTGAGCAGCCCATTCAAACCGTTTAAATTTAATTCAACGATTCTAAACAGAGAATCTTTCTAAAAATTATAATAATTGCATTCGTTTAATCAAATTTGAACGGTCCAAATGGGCTACTCATGAGGATCTCATCCTGAACTCAGGAGAGGATCCAGTTTCGTCAAAATATACAAAATCCTTTTAAATATCTAGCTTAATTTATATTGTTTCCAAGATTTGAAAAAAAAAAGACAAAAGGAAAGTCATAAGTTCTGTGGTTAATTTCAGGAAGACGCCCATGAAAGGCGGGTGCAGTGTAAACTGTAGAGGAGTGAAAGAAACAGTAAACGTAAACCATGGGAGGTTTTTCTGGCTTCAACAGGGAATGGCAGAGTTAAACTCATGGTCCATAATTTAGGAAAGCAATCCTCTCTAGATTCTTTTAATCCATCAAGTTCGGAAATTCGGAACATTAAAATTTGATCAAACTGCTACAAACATAGGCCCATTTAAAAGTTATAATAATATTAGCTGTTGGATCAAATTTCAATAATTCGAATCTTCGAACTTAATGGATTAAGAGGAAGGGATCCAGAGACGATCATTTCCCATAATTTACTTTTGTACTATTCTCATCTGAGAGAGAGAGAGAAAAAAAAAACACATGTAGCAGGTTTCCATTTCAATATGATGCGGATACGCCACCTTGTTATTTACACAAAGTATTGCAACAACAGATAGCGACATTAAGGATAATATTTGAGAGATTATTTTTAAAATCAAGTTTGCAAATTAAGTGACATGATTGATAATAATTAGATTATTCTTTAAATATTGATTAATGTGTTTCTTACTATTGGTGACACATTATTAATTGGATTGTAAATTTAGTTAAATTTTTTAATCTTTAGATCCTTATCCAACATTACCAAGAGATACTCTCATGCAAACAGTCAATGTTACATGACAATCCACTTAATGCTTATCTACATCTTTCATATATGTATTAATGACTCTATATACATATTAAATTTGATATTTAAATTCTATTGTTCTTTTAGGTTTACTTAAAAAAAATTTACAAAATTTTTATCATCTTGTTTGGGCCCAAAATAACGCTTTGGGTTGAGCCTAGAGTTATTTTTGGCCCAGTAAGGGATATTGGGAATATTATGTCATGGGCCGAGCCTAGTGGAGTTCGGCCGAATCCTATCATAAGATGGTTTTAGCTCAATAGGGGTTAGGTGATCAAATCCCAGTATAACAAGGATTCTTGAAAACTAAGAATGCTTCGAATTAGAAAAGATGCCGAGAACCAAGGGTTGAATTTGAACTATTAGGGAGCTGGGTTTAAAATCCTACAAGGATCAAGATTGGTCAAGATCTATTCGGATTGGGTTAAAGAATCCTAATCCGAGTGAAGTTCCATTCCGGCCACTAAGGAAATCATTGCTATAAATAGAGGGGGAATGCATCATTCAAGCCTCTCCAATTCAACACACAATTGCCCTGCGCAAACCTCTCAAACACCTTGAGATTTTTATTTTCTTTTTTCTTGCCAACAAATCTTCAGTTTGGATAAACAACACTGTGGAGACAACCGGCAACATCTTCAGTTTGGATAAACAGCAGTGGAGCCGTAGAATCAGCCGACTGAGAAGCACATTCAGTTTGGATAAACAGCACTGCTTCAAGACCGATTGTTTATTTATTTAACTCTCGATCAACAAGGATTTCTGAGTCTTTGTTGGAAAAGGTCATCTCATCAGCCTTCTCAATGAAGTGAGGTGTTACGGGTTACTACATTTGGCACACTGAATAGCCGAATTTGATATTGAACTTCGCAGAACTAGCAGCCTTGTCTTCAGGCTCTAGAACCCAAAGACCGAGATGAGTTATTTCCTCGGCTGCAATCGCAAGACGCAAAAGTCAGCAACGCGCCCAACACCATGCCAACATTCATTTACTCCCTGGCCAAGTTCGACCGACGAGTTGCCACGCCTCACATTCGACCGAAGGACATAGTTAACTTATTAATTACTCGGTCTGTGCGCCATGTAGGCTAAGTAGACCCTAAAATTTCTATTCCGTCATTTAAAATTCTTATAATCTTAAATTTTCTCATCTAAACAAAGTGTTAAACTCCTAATTGATTAGCAAACCCGGCCCCTGCCCATATGCCATACTATCTACTTCTTTTCCTTAACAACATACAATTCAATAGATGAAAAGAAAATTTACAAAGGAAAATGCGTGGCATTTTAGCTACATTTTGGATAACTAGTCATCAATTCAAACAAATCTCAATAAATTAAATATAAAAGGCCAACTTACTAAGTATTATTGTATTTGTGAATTTAAGGATGAGACGAGCTCAAAAATAAACAAAATGTAATAAAATAGATAATTGTTTATACAAGTTTAAACAGTGTACCTCTTCATTCAGAAAACACATGTACCTATACTTTCACCGGTTCAAACCAATTAAAAACACACCTGCAATAAAAAAATACACACAAAAATATCACCACAGCCACTGTTTCTACACAACTGAACACAACTATAAATCAAAAACACAAAAGTACTAAATAAGGGATGAAGAGAGAATCTACAAGTCAAAATGAAACGAATTTTAAGTTTCAAAAAATAAAGCAGTAATTTAGATATTATAGAGGATCAAATAAGATTAAAATAGAGTTAGAGGGCGTAGCTAGAAATAAGCAATAAAACAAAAAAACAAAAAGCACCAAATCTATACATGTGCTTATTATATATGAAAAAAGGTTGAGCCCACACACACATTTCAAAACAAAAAACTGTAAATTTTTTCTTCTCAACCGTCGACCCCAACTATACCTCTGATTGGGGTCGGTAGCAGCAAATATCCATGTTCTCTCCTAATTTCTTTTCCCAACCCCTCTTTTTATGGCTTAGTTTTTCAATGTTATCGTTTTGAGCTTTTTGTGTCTTAGTGCTCTCTAAGCTTTTTGTGTCTCAGTGCTCTCTGAGCTTATCTCAGATTTGGTTTTCATGCCTCGTTCCCCACTAAATATCATTCCTCACCGTAATCCTCAACCATCTACCAATACCCATGTTGCTTGGATATCTTGGACTTTCTGTTTTAGTTGTCTTTATCTTGTACTAGCATTCTCTTTTAATGACAACAAAATACATTCTTATACATAAAAAAAATAAAATCAACCAAAAACACGGGCATCAAATTTGAAACTTAACAATCTTCAATCCAAAACAACAACAAAAATAAATTGAACGAAATTCATTATAGCAACAATAACAACAAAAACTTATTCCACTAAATGAGGTCGATGAGAAGTTTGGAGGAAGAGAGGGTTTGATGGAGAAGAGAGGTAGGTGGAAGATTCGTGCTAGAATTGACTGAATGGTTGGAGGAAGGGATTAGTGTGTTTGACGGAAGAGATGCCCACGAAACTGAAAAATGGCCTACACTACCCATGCGCCCCCCCCCCCCCCCAAATTACTCTTTTTGTCCCTTGCTTCTCTCTTCCTCCTCCTTCCATTCCTCTCTTGTGGAGGTTATTTTAGGAATAAAAGTATGTGGAGAAATATCATTTTAACTTTTTGACTTTTTATGGTGAGTGACTTTATGATGAGGGTAACAGGGTAGGTCTAGCAATATTTTGTTTTTTTAAATGGTAGGGACAAGCATGTTGAGCTGATTGCATATTGGGACAAGCATGTTGCCTATTGGGTTTAGTACTTATGGTTAATGAAAAATGCTGCTATATCCACTCATTTGTCTTACTTTCCCACTTACATTTTAAAAAATATTTCAGGACCATTTTATTCCTTTATAAAATCGTTGTAGCAGACAATTTCCGCCGTCTTCAGTCTTGACGAAAAAGAATCTACAAA